AAAGGCCGTTTAAAAATAGAAATATATGAACATGTAATTTACAAAAGTAATGGAAAAATGTTTTAAGACTTGTGAAAATTGCTGCAGACAACAAAATTTGTAAATATTGATGGTTTCGGTTTTTGGGTATGAAAGTATGCTATTTTTGGGTGAATATTTGCAGAAATGGATTAGAAATAATATTAAATGGAAAATCGTATTGATTTCCTTAATTAAAATGGATTAAAATAGTATAGTTTTAAACATTTATATCTTTATAGCCCTAAATTCAATGCTGAACATACCCAGAAAATTGTCTTTTTGTACTCTATAGGGTTATCTTCAAAACGATATTAAAACACCAAACTAACCAATATTTGAATATCTGTTTAAAGTTTTTTAAAGTAAATTGATCAAATTTTATGTTTCTAAAATAGGTTTTGCAAAATGAGCTAAAATTGTTATTTATAAATATTATTGGATCCAAAATATAAGAGTTGGATAACTAGTTGTCAAAGTTTGCACAGGTATTAAAAGTCGATAATGGACCATATTTACCAAATAAATTATTTAAAATAGAAATTTAAACATTTACGAATCTGATTCAATAAAAATGTATTTCCATTACTTAATAATAATATACTAAAAAGTAGAAATAAATCAGACGCTCAATGAAACTTCTGCAACACAAATCACCAATGCTAAAATCATCTTCGTGCTGCCCTTCTACTCGCTTCTCATTCGAACAAGGGACCATTGGCCCCGCCACGTTTCGAACTAAAAAGTGCGCAGGTTGCAACATTCCGCTCCAGTGGCTGCTCCACCAGTAGCAGCGGAGAGAAGGTGGCCTCTAAAAAGGCGTCTGGATCCGCTGCGGCTACTGCAAAGGCAAAGAAGCCCACAGCTCCACCATCGCATCCCCAACTCAGCAAATGGTTGACGCTTCGATTAAGAGCTTGAAGGAACGTGGCGGCTCATCGCTCCTGGCCATCAAGAAATATATTACTGCCGAATACAAATGCGATGCCCAGAAACTTTTCCATTTATCAAGAAGTACTTGAAGTCGGCCGTTGCCAATGGAAAGCTGATCCAAACAAAGGGGAAAGGTGCCTCTGGTTCGTTCAAGCTGTCGGCTTCCGCCAAAAAAGGAGCCCAAGCCAAAGGTTGTGTCGTCTGTGGAGAAGAAAGTGAAAGCCAAGAAGGTAGTCCCATCGGCAGCAGCAAAGAAGACAGCAGCCCCAAAAAAGCAGCCGGAGCCGGTGACAAGAAGCTAAAGGCAAAGAAGACGGTCGCCACCGCCACCAAGAAGACCGCCAGAAGAAGAAAACTGAGAAGGCAAAGGCCAAGGATGTGAAGAAAGCTGGAACCGTGAAGGCGAAGCCAGCAGCGGCAAAGGCCAAGTCGAGCCCTGCAAAGCCAAAACCAAAAGCTAAGGCTGCAGCTGCAGCGGCGTCTGCCAAGCCCAAGAAGGTGACGAAAAAGCCAGCCGCTCCCGCCACCGTAAAGAAGCCGAAAGCAAAGACGACGGCGGCCAAGAAGTAAATTGCGAAATTGTACACGTTTGGTGTACACGGTCGCATGCGAAATTTTAGATGATCGTACATCTGAAATTAATTTAAACAAGCCCTTTTCAGGGCTACAAAACTATATCAAAAGAGATACAAATTATCCGGCCGAGCCCCCTTCATTTATAGAGCAATAACAGATACTATTTTAGATTCTTAGCCTGACAGCGAAAGAACATGATATTGAAAATGGGTTTGCTTTTAAAAATATTCTCACAGCATTATTGGTTAAGCACAAGGCCTTATCAGCCCATATCGAAAAACGTTCACCACTCAATTTTTTTTGTATAGCTGGGAACATTATGGGGTCACCTTTTTTCAATATTTTGCGTGCCCACCAAATCATCTGTTCATCTTATGAACAGAACCATTTGGTTTGAAAAGCTACCTTGAGACAAACTGTTGTGGCCTCATGTTCATACATACATATGTATGTACATATATCCATGATTCGTCCATGTTTCAATTTAAAAAACCTTCTGGGTAACGTATTCAGCGTAGTATGGTCGTTGGGGAAAGCCTGAGAGCTGAACGTTGGTTTTCCAAAACTAACAAGACTATTTTTAGTCCAAACGGTTCAACGAAACCGATACATTTTCAAATGACTTGCATCTACTGGCAAGGATTGTATGGCTATCCTGCCCTTAATTTATTACTTTATTGAAAAGACAAGCCAAGTGCCGTTCGCCAGCAAACATTACGTTTTGATTACCTTTAGCTTTAATTTTCATTTAATATTCATTTTTCTATGTAGCTTTGCCAAAATAAGACTAAAGGCAACTGAAAATGAAAAAATGAAAAAAAAAATAAATAAAAACGAAACGAAACGAAACGAAAAAGCGGTAAAAGGCAAAAAGTTGGTGACGAAGCCAACAACACCGGTGTTCCCAAGCGGTCCCCCATCTGAGTAGTACTAACCGCGCCCGACGCTGCTTAATTTCGGTGATCGGACGAGAACCGATATTCAGCGTAGTACTCCGTTGCGAAAGCCTGAGAGCTTAACGTTGGTTTTCCATAACCATATAGACTATTTTTAGTCCAAACGGTTCAACGCCCAGTGTCTTACAATTCCAAAAACGTTCTGGGTAACCGAAGCTGTATTTGATTCCCATTGGTTCAAATCATACTGTACTACTGTAATCTACGAGAAAAATGTTTGTTGACGGCGTATTGAATGTATCCTCTATCAATTGTCTAGATATTTTTACATGCATTAAGAAATACCGTTCAACTTCTTCTTCTTTTAGTTTATTGGTCGTGAATTCTGTAAATTGCACCTTCGAGAAATTTATTGGACTGATTTTTTTGATCAGCATTTTTAGCTAATTTTTATTCGCTTGTCAATATCGAAAATGGTGTTTCTTTGGGAAAATGTTTTGTGGCCCTGAAAAGGGCCTTTTTGTCGTAGGTTCTGCAGAGAAACAGATTTACTTGGAGCTGGTGTACTTGGTGACAGCCTTGGTTCCCTCACTAACAGCGTGCTTGGCCAACTCTCCCGGCAGCAGCAGGCGCACAGCAGTTTGGATTTCCCGACTGGTGATGGTCGAACGCTTGTTGTAATGAGCCAAGCGAGACGCCTCGGCGGCAATGCGCTCGAAGATGTCATTGACAAAGCTGTTCATGATGCTCATCGCTTTCGACGAAATACCAGTGTCAGGGTGGACTTGCTTCAGAACTTTGTAAATATAGATGGCATAGCTCTCCTTCCTCTTGCGCTTCTTCTTCTTGTCGGTCTTGGTGATGTTCTTCTGAGCCTTTCCAGCCTTTTTGGCTGCCTTTCCACTAGTCTTGGGCGGCATTTTAGTTCACTTCCACGTATACAGTTTATGCTTTGCGGACTTAGCCGACAAGACCTTATACTTTTATTCGAGCAGTCAGTTCAAGTTGAGCATACAGGCGTAAAACCCACCCCTAGATTGAACTCCCCTGCAGACGGAAAAGGTATATATACCGAGGGATCGGAATTTTAGACCAACATTCAACATTCAACATTCGTTTGTGAACGTTTCTAGTGAAAATCAACAAATACTCGCAAAATGTCTGGTCGTGGTAAAGGTGGCAAAGTGAAGGGAAAGGCAAAGTCTCGTTCGAACCGTGCTGGTCTTCAGTTCCCAGTGGGTCGTATTCATCGTCTGCTGCGCAAGGGCAACTATGCCGAGCGTGTCGGTGCCGGCGCTCCTGTCTACCTGGCTGCCGTGATGGAATACTTGGCCGCTGAAGTTCTTGAGTTGGCAGGCAATGCTGCCCGTGATAACAAGAAGACGAGAATTATCCCCCGCCATCTGCAGCTGGCCATCCGCAACGACGAGGAGTTGAACAAGCTGCTCTCAGGCGTCACCATTGCTCAGGGTGGAGTCTTGCCCAACATCCAGGCCGTTCTGCTGCCCAAAAAGACCGAGAAGAAGGCATAAATGTTCCAATAGCAACCTACACACAAACCCAAACGTCCTTTTCAGGACGACCAACCCATGGCTAAAGAACTAAGAGAATTTTCATAATTTATTATTCTAAAGTATAATCTACTTCGGCTTCATTACATATCAACGTGAAGACAATTTAAAAATAATTATTATTATATTTATGCAGGCCAAACAGTCGAATTTCTGTTAATTGATAACGAAGAAGGTACCAGGGCCTAACGAAAGAACAGTTGTGCTCGACTCGCCTGAAAGACGGCTGGGGAGGGACCTTATTTAATTGTCAACTGCCTTTTCCGAACCCTATTTTACAAGGGAATGAAGAAAACCCCCCCCAAGGATGCGAACAATTCGGTCCTTTTCAGGACGACCAATCCATGGCTAAAGAACTAAGAGAATTTTCATAATTACGGGGGGGGGGAACGAGGGGGCCTTTGCTGTGTTACTCGCCTGAAATAATTTTCAACTGTTAATTGATAACGAAGAAGGTACCAGGAATGCAAACGGTGTTCCCGTTTCCCTGAAAGACGAACTGGAGGAGTGTCTGGACCATATTTCGTCTACCTACGCGTGTACCTGAGGTAAAGATCCCTTTTCCAGTGCATTTCCGAACCCTATTTTACAAGGCGAATTATACCTAAGCAATATCCCTCGCCAGGTATGCGCACAATTCGGTCCTTTTCAGAACGACCAATCCATGGCTAGGGAATTTAGAACATTTTCATTATTTGTTTTCATTCTGAAGTACATAAAATGGGCCCAAGAAAGTACAGTTGTGCTCGGCACGTCTGAAAGACGAATTCTAGGGTATTTAAATATACATATTTTCTCTCCGATCGCTTAGATGGGAGATGTTGGCTTGGCAATCGGTTAATTTGTTCTGCTATGAATCTTCCGTTACTTTATAATATTAATATCAACGTCTATTAGTAAAGTTGAATTCTTGAAAATATGCCTCTTTTAGATTATATTGTGGTCCTGAAAAGGACCGATTGTTTACTTTGTGGATACTTTTGAACAGCGGACTGTACACATTTTCTTAACCGCCGAAGCCGTACAGCGTGCGACCTTGTCTCTTCAGAGCATACACCACATCCATGGCTGTGACTGTCTTCCTCTTGGCGTGTTCGGTGTAGGTGACGGCATCACGGATAACGTTTTCCAAAAACACCTTCAGCACTCCACGAGTCTCCTCGTAGATGAGTCCGGAGATACGTTTTACACCGCCACGACGAGCCAAACGGCGGATAGCGGGCTTCGTGATACCCTGGATGTTATCACGCAGAACCTTGCGATGACGCTTAGCGCCTCCCTTACCCAAGCCTTTGCCACCTTTACCACGACCAGTCATTTTTCAATATGCTTGTTTCACTTTACGTATGTCAGGAACGAATGTTTAGTCAGGTAACCCTCTCACTGCTATTTATACCAAAACACCATGGAAAAACGAGTGAGTCCGAATGATGTGTGCATCTCGCTCGGGCTGATCTCGCTCTCTCGTTTCAACCCTCCACCAGCACAGAAGAATGCTATATAAGCTAGCACTGGGTTCAGCGACAGCTTATTGTGAATTCGAATTTCAAACGTTGACAGTGAAAATGGCCCGTACCAAGCAGACTGCTCGTAAATCCACTGGTGGCAAGGCGCCACGCAAACAACTGGCTACCAAGGCCGCACGTAAGAGTGCTCCAGCAACCGGTGGCGTGAAGAAACCTCATCGTTATCGCCCTGGCACTGTTGCCCTGCGTGAAATCCGTCGTTACCAGAAGAGTACCGAGCTGCTGATCCGCAAACTGCCTTTCCAGAGGTTGGTTCGTGAAATCGCTCAAGATTTCAAAACCGACTTGCGTTTCCAGAGCTCGGCAGTAATGGCACTGCAGGAAGCTAGCGAAGCCTATCTGGTCGGTCTCTTCGAAGATACCAACTTGTGTGCCATCCATGCCAAGCGTGTCACAATCATGCCCAAGGACATCCAACTGGCCAGACGTATTCGTGGCGAGCGTGCTTAAGTCCATATTTTTTCGACAGGCGCATATAAATTTTATACAAATCGGTCCTTTTCAGGACCACAAAATAACTTTCATTGAGATTTTTTATTTCTGCATTATGTTATAGATTACAGCTTCAATGAAATAGTGGTGCCGGCACCTAGCCATTTTCAAAACTCTGCGACATTTTCAGTTATACTAGTTGAAAAAATTATACCCTTTTTGAATAGACTGGAACGTAAGAATTAGAAAAACAAGAGTTCTATTGCACTTTGTTGTTTTGCGTGACTTTAGACGAGACCCTTGAAATAAGCTGTTCTTTCTAGCGAGCTTTTGTGAGTATTTCAGGTCAGGTCACTATCCTATTGAAAGACATTTTTCAGCTGAAATTGGATTGTAAAGTACTCAGATGTACATACATACACATTTGCGACCGGGGGTGCCACATGTGACTGATGGTACCCGGGGGGGCCCGGGAAACACCATCAACCGTGGGGGGCCCGAAAGACAGCGCAATCGAAACAAACCAGATGGCAGTGGGCTTTCAGCCCCCCGCGAAGTACTTACGGTCGTGCCGTAGGGGGGGTTTTAGTGGGTGAGGTATCCAAGTCCCCACTTACGGCTTCAATGGCTTCTACAAAAAATTAATATTCCAACGCCAGACTATAAGGTACTATCATTGGAGCTGGGCCCATAGGGCTCGGCCCATCACGCCCAATGCAATTATTATACCCAATTTTGTAGTTAACGAAAGATGTAGTAAAAACAAATGTAAGCAGACAAAAATCATACTAACTGAGTACGGGTGTAAAAGTAGAGCCGCGGCATATGCGTGCGCTCACAACGTTCCACCTCCTTTTTTTAATTTTAGGTCGTGTAGAATAAAGATAGTAGTCGTATTATTGTTCCAAAATAAAATATGTTTGATTTTGTCTCTGCTTCGTTTTTGCCTGTTTAAATTCGCAATTTGAAGGAACGAAATGAATGAATGAATGATCCGTATTAAATGTACTAACAGACGTATGTATGCACATTCCTGCGGTCCTAAGGACCACTTGGCGAAAATGTTTATCTTGTGATTTTAATTAAAGAATTGTATACAGCTGGATAGAACTTATTAAACAAATTTTGAAATTGTTAAAATGTGTGTTAGCTCCGTAATAATAAGTGTATTGAATAAGATTAGATTGGTGCGATATACATATGTAGGCTTAAAGTTTTCATTTATTTGGGGAAAAAAACTATGATTTTGTCAGAATAGAAAAGAATAGAAAGCCTTTTTATTTACTTTTTGACGGATTACATTGGTTTGTGAATATCCTTTTAACGTAATTTTAGTATTATCCACGCTTTTCCAATGACCAATGAATTAAATGTTTTGAAATATCAAAGATATGCAAAGGCTTTTGAAACTACCAATGGAAAGACTAGTATGTAATAAAAGGCCGTTTAAAAATAGAAATATATGACACTATTAGTAAGGGAAGTTTAGCTGGATGCTGGCACATGTAAATATTGAGCTTTCGATTTTTACTTTGAGATTAATTAAATTGCCACTGCTATTTGGGTATGAAAGTATGCTATTTTTGGGTGAATATTTGCAGAAATGGATCAGAAATAATATTAAATGGAAAATCGTATTGATTTCCTTAATTAAAATGTCTTAAAATAGTATAGTTTTAAACATTTATATCTTTATAGCCCTAAATTCAATGCTGAACATACCCAGAAATAGTCATTTTGTACTCTATAGGGCTATCTTCAAAACGATATTAAGATACCATACTAAACAATATTTGAATATCTGCTTAAAGTTTTTCAAAGTAAATTGATCAAATTTTATGTTTCAAAAATAGGTTTTGCAAAATGAGCTAAAATTGTTATTTATAAATATTATAGAATCCAAAATATAAGAGTTGGATAACTAGTTGTCAAAGTTTGCACAGGTATTAAAAGTCGATAATGGACCATATTTACCAAATAAATTATTTAAAATAGAAATTTAAACATTTACGAATCTGATTCAATAAAAATGTATTTCCATTACTTAATAATAATATACTAAAAAGTAGAAATAAGTCAGACGCTCAATGAAACTTCTGCAACACAAATCACCAATGCTAAAATCATCTTCGTGCTGCCCTTCTACTCGCTTCTCATTCGAACAAGGGATAATTGGCCCCCGCCGCGTTCGCAACTAAAAAGTGTAATTTTGTAAAGAATAATGTCTGATTCCGCAGTTGCAACATCCGCGTCTCCAGTGGCTGCTCCACCAGTAGCAGCGGAGAAGAAGGTGGCCTCTAAAAAGGCGTCTGGATCCGCTGCGGCTACTGCAAAGGCAAAGAAGCCCACAGCTCCACCATCGCATCCCCCAACTCAGCAAATGGTTGACGCTTCGATTAAGAGCTTGAAGGAACGTGGCGGCTCTTCGCTCCTGGCCATCAAGAAATATATTACTGCCGAATACAAATGCGATGCCCAGAAACTCCCCCATTATCAAGAAGTACTTGAAGTCGGCCGTTGCCAATGGAAAGCTGATCCAAACAAAGGGGAAAGGTGCCTCTGGTTCGTTCAAGCTGTCGGCTTCCGCCAAAAAGGAGCCCAAGCCAAAGGTTGTGTCGTCTGTGGAGAAGAAAGTGAAAGCCAAGAAGGTGGTGTCATCGGCAGCAGCAAAGAAGACAGCAGCCCCCAAAAAAGCAGCCGGAGCCGGTGACAAGAAGATAAAGGCAAAGAAGACGGTCGCCACCGCTACCAAAAAGACCGCCGAGAAGAAGAAAACTGAGAAGGCAAAGGCCAAGGATGTGAAGAAAGCTGGAACCGTGAAGGCGAAGCCAGCAGCGGCAAAGGCCAAGTCGAGCCCTGCAAAGCCAAAACCAAAAGCTAAGGCTGCAGCTGCAGCGGCGTCTGCCAAGCCCAAGAAGGTGACGAAAAAGCCAGCCGCTCCCGCCACCGTAAAGAAGCCGAAAGCAAAGACGACGGCGGCCAAGAAGTAAATTGCGAAATTGTACACGTTTGGTGTACACGGTCGCATGCGAAATTTTAGATGATCGTACATCTGAAATTAATTTAAACAAGCCCTTTTCAGGGCTACAAAACTATATCAAAAGAGATACAAATTATCCGGCCGAGCCCCCCTTCATTTATAGACAATAACAGATACTATTTTAGATTCTTAGCCTGACAGCGAAAGAACATGATATTGAAAATGGGTTTGCTTTTAAAAATATTCTCGCAGCATTATTGGTTGCACAAGGCCTTATCAGCCCATATCGAAAAACGTTCACCACTCAATTTTTTTTGTATAGCTGGGAACATTATGGGGTCACCTTTTTTCGATATTTTGGGTGCCCAAAATCATCTGTTCATCTTATGAACAGAACCATTTGGTTTGAAAAGCTACCTTGAGACAAACTGTTGTGGCCTCATGTTCATACATACATATGTATGTACATATATCCATGATTCGTCCATGTTTCAATTTAAAAAACCTTCTGGGTAACGTATTCAGCGTAGTATGGTCGTTGGGGAAAGCCTGAGAGCTGAACGTTGGTTTTCCAAAACTGACAAGACTATTTTTAGTCCAAACGGTTCAACGAAACCGATACATTTTTCAAATGACTTGCATCTACTGGCAAGGATTGTATGGCTATCCTGCCCTTAATTTATTACTTTATTGAAAAGACAAGCCAAGTGCCGTTCGCCAGCAAACATTACGTTTTGATTACCTTTAGCTTTAATTTTCATTTAATATTCATTTTTCTATGTAGCTTTGCCAAAATAAGACTAAAGGCAACTGAAAATGAAAAAATGAAAAAAAAATAAATAAAAACGAAACGAAAAAGCGGTAAAAGGCAAAAAGTTGGTGACGAAGCCAACAACACGCGGTGTTCCCAAGCGGTCCCCCATCTAAGTACTAACCGCGCCCGACGCTGCTTAATTTCGGTGATCGGACGAGAACCGATGTATTCAGCGTAGTATGGTCGTTGGCGAAAGCCTGAGAGCTTAACGTTGGTTTTCCATAACCAATAAGACTATTTTTAGTCCAAACGGTTCAACGCCCAGTGTCTTACAATTCCAAAAACGTTCTGGGTAACCGAAGCTGTATTTGATTCCCATTGGTTCAAATCATACTGTACTACTGTAATCTCACGAGAAAAATTTTTGTTGACGTCGTATTGAATGTATCCTCTATCAATTGTATAGATATTTTTACATGCATTAAGAAATACCGTTGAGCTTCTTCTTCTTCTTAGTTTATTGGTCGTGAATTCTGTAAATTGCACCTTCGAGAAATTTATTGGACTGATTTTTTTATCCGCATTTTTAGCTAATTTTTATTCGCTTGTCAATATCGAAAATGGTGTTTCTTTGGAAAAATGTTTTG